TTTTTTGCAGGAGGTTTGGGAAGACGTTGTAATTCGAGCCAACATTGAATTCACACGGTTGATGCATCTAGTCACTACATTGGATCGATACCCATTAGTGTCGGATTCCCGTCCGCTACTGGTGCGTTAAGTTTTTGTTCGTTAATTGCACCACATCTCCTTCACTCCGAATTGCATCTTGGCGAACAGGGACTCTATTTCGCAATTGAGTGCTTGCTAGAATAGTTTGTGACAAGGTGTATTGTCTTTGACTTTTGTGCGTAATCCAAAATTTTGTGATAATGGGGCAAAAATCCACAGGTACCACAAATTTTTTCGGCGAGGCTACCCTACCAAAAGACTCTGCAAAATACCTTTTCCTTGTTCTATACACTGCGTTAATTTGATAAAAACCATAATTTTTAGATCAAGAACACCTTGCTAACCGGTAAGCGCTGTCACAATGACCGAGTGCTATGTAAAGCTATATCTGGTGTCCTGCAAAGCCAAGGACAATGCGTCATTATTGGATCCGATAACCTTTATGTTACCAGGGTACTGTGCATATCCGCTCTTTGAGATCTGCTTTTCAAATTATTTTTTTAGTTGCTGCATACCCTAGCAGCTTTTGTCCCTGAGCAGCTGCGATGGTCTTGTCCTCGAATGTACCGCCACAAATTCAATCCGTACCTGCGCTTGCAAGTTGTACGCCGGGTAAGTTCCCCTTGGCCAAAATATGCATATCTATAGGGATTGCTTTGAAAATCATCGCTTTATTTTTACTGATTTTATGCTATCATAATCACCTCTAGTCAGATATAAACGCATTCAGAAAGTCAGAGGTTGCATTGCCACGTTCAAGGCTATCTCAATTGCGGTGTCGGGTGCACGAGCAGCTCGGCCGCGCGGCCGCCTCGCGTACACCCTGCGTCGCATTTGTGAACGTGTCGTCTTATCATTTTTGGAATGATTAGGCGTGGGAAAATGGTAAGGAACACGTTCGAAAACGCGATGCGCCCAAGAGAGAGGCCGTGAGGGACTCGAGCCGCTGTGCACCCGACATTCAGTTGAGATAGCCCGTAACTTTTTCGATAGACTGATCGTTGAGTCTTGGACCGTATTTGTAAGTTTCAGTATGAGCTGCCGTACCTTTTGCAATGTGGTGCATTAGCTACCTGGCCAATATGCGTCGTTGATGTGGATCGCTCGACTGTATGCATGTCAGCTCCTTACAGTCGACATCGCATTTTGAAACGGAGAGCTGACGCGCAGCGAGTTTCCGCTATTCTGGAAGGGTCTGTGAAGAGTAGGCCTGTTACCCTGTATGTTTTTCTTCGAACTCGTTTACTTTGCTATCTATGGATTTTTTTAGTGAAATGAGCTCCTGTCGTATTTTGGATTGTGTGAAGACTTTCTTGAAACGTCTCGATCTTCTTCCTGTTGAGGTTCGTTTGTACATTTTTCGTGCCCCTCATATCATTGACCATTCAGGAGTCGGCCAGGATGGGCTTCATAAATCAGTTACTTCTATATATCGAGAATATGGCGCGTGCGTTGATCATTTATGTACAGCATTCAAGGTTTGGCGCTTTTTGAACGTTGTAAGTTTTTCGCTGAAATACCTATTTTAGTGAGCCTTTACCGACGGAGAAGTCGTCAGCAACTAAGAGCTCACGATTTTCGCTGAGCGAATGCAGAAAAGCTCTAGACTTGCAGTCGGACGCTTTCTTCCATGCTGTGCTTGCCAGAGCAGATCTAATTGCTCCAGATATAGCCGAGTTCATATACAGCTCGGGCTGAAAATACCCAAGTGTATTATTTCCTAGTAACAGCATTACAAACGTTTGACTTAGCATCCCGAAATATGATCTTTCCCCATTGATTTCATCGCATCCTTTTTTGCAGTTCTCATTAGTCAATTCACTAGATTTACGTTGTGCCTCCTATCTCTGTAGTGTGCCTTGTATCGTTATCGTTTCGGTGCGGCAGTAGTATTACGGTTGTGGTTTTATGCTACATTCAGCTTGCGCAAACTTATTATTCAGTTGTAGACACTTTTCCATCCAAGCAAGTTTATGGATGTCTGCTTGTAATCACCAAAACAATATTTTCTTTGTGCCTTGTAATCATGTAACTATCATACGTACCATTGTTTCTATCACTGTTCCAATGCGCTGTTATAATCTTGCTTTTCGTGATATGTAAATATCCCTCTGGCCTTGTGCTAGGTTTGCTGAAGTTCTCCAAAATTTTCTTTCCAATAACTCGAGGATTGATATAACATATTGACCAAACACTGTGATTTATTCGCTTCGATTGTTTAGCAATTGACCCTATCACTTCTTCAATGAAGTTTGAAATTGGTTTAACCTTCTGCCATATTCGAACTTTGTCTGAAACTTCGCATCATTGCTTTCGGGCAATTAGACATTTGAAGGATTTATCTCATGCGGTGCAAAGCGTGTGGCGCTTGCGATTAGAAACCTTCTTGTTGACGCACAAACAACTTTTTTGTTGCCGGAGATAACGATCCTATTATGTCGATACGATAAATACTGAAATGCCTC